TCGGTCTGACATGACCCCATAAACTGTCTTCTACATCGGTCTGACACGACCACACAGTGTCTGCTACAACGGTCCGGCATGACCTCGTAAACTGTCCTGCTACACCGGTCCGACATGACCCCATAAACTGTCTTCTACATCGGTCTGACACGACCACACAGTGTCTGCTACAACGGTCCGGCATGACCTCGTAAACTGTCCTGCTACACCGGTCCGACATGACCCCATAAACTGTCTTCTACATCGGTCTGACACGACCACACAGTGTCTGCTACCACGGTCCGACATGACCCCGTAAACTGTCTGCTACAACGGTCCGACACGACCATACAGTGTCTCCTATCCCATTTTTAATTTTATTTGTCAGCTTATCTTTCTGTTTTGTTACTCTCTCCAAACTCAAGTTGGCTAGTACCTATCCTCCTTGAGTTTGAGGGGGGCTGTTAACATATAATATACCTTATACTTTCATAGCTGTACATGTGCATTAGGAGCTGTAATGTACATGTGCATTAGGAACCAGCAAAGGTGTAAAGGAGGCCAACACCCACTACCAGCAAAGCTTTAGATTACACTTTTATATTATTGTAATATCTTACCTTATGCCTTCGTACTCCATTGTATCTTTCTCCTCTCTATAAATAGAGAGACCTAATTCTCTTGTAAATGCAGATACACAACAAGCATACATTATTCAATAATACAATTCTCTATTTATTTTTATACATTTATTCTAACAACACCCAAGCAATTGTCTCAGGAGGCTTAATCCATCTTCTGAACACAAATCACAATGTAGAAATTTAATGGATGTGTGTTGTAGTCGATGTTTGCTGTTAAGGATGTAGTTATTGACCATTGTTAGGTCCTCAAGCTTTCCCGCTATGCATACATTCTCCAAACTCCGGAGATTGGTTAATTTGAAGAGATCTCTAACATTAACCTTATCTGAATCCAAGTTTTGTAGCGTCTCCAGATTCCTCAAACCATCTACTCGTAGTTTGCCTTCTGTACAAAAGTAACGATAAGGAAGATAAAGATGTACCAATCCTTCCATCTTCCATAACACATTTGGAACACTGATATGGAAGTTTGTTCGTAAATCAAGGGTTTGCAAGTGTCTAAGGTTGCCTATTGATGATGGCAACTTTGTGAATGCACCCCTATTTATACCCAAGTACCTCAAAAGGATTAGGTTTCCTATTTCTTTTGGTAACTCTTTTGGTCCTTTCTTTTTCTATCAAATGGATTTCCATCGAAATTTATAAGTCTAAGAAATTTGGATTCTTTGGAGAAACGGGTCAATTGTTCTCCAAATGAATAATCACAATCATCACCTATGAAGAATAAAATTGTCCGAATATGCCGAGCTCTTTCTTCTTGTTCAAAGAGATGAAAGTTACTATTCCCATCTAGATTGATGACAAGTCTGTGTATTTTACTGCAAGTGTTACCACCAATTGATGTTACCATGGATGAAGAAGAGGGATGCTCTTGCTGATTTATATGCCCACATTCAATGACCTGATGAAAATTTTCCTCTTTTGCCTTTGACAAACATAAGTCTCTCACGAGATCATGAAGTCGACAATATCGAAACCCTCTAGTTCCTGTAATTATTGAATCCTCCTCTGGCTGCAATTCCACTTGAACCATGCACCTTTGTGCTAGTTCACCCATGTAACGTTCGGCCACATCCATCATGGTTTCGTCTTCTCTTCTTTCTTCTTGGGATATGAAGCCATCAGCCATCCACAATTGATATAGTCTCTTTGCATTGATGTCGAAATCCTCAGGATAATTGCCCAAATAAAGGAAACATACCTTGAGCTGATATGGTAAGTCTTGGTAACTCAAAGCTAACACATCCAATACTCTTCCATCTTGTCCTCCTCCTCTTCTCATGTATTGAAATTTTGTTGCACTTTCTGCCAATGGCTCAGGGTCAAGTTTGTTCCTAGAAGTCCTCCAAGTACTACAATGGCTAGTGGTAAGCCCCCACATTGTTCAACCATTTCTATTCCTAACTTCTCCATCATTGTGTCAACTTTGAATTCTGCAACAGACCAAAGTGTAAATTTATCAATGCACAGAATACCTCTTGTCTTAGTTGGAGTATGCTAGTTTATGTTATGCACTCTGAAGGAATTTGCAAAAATGTTTTACATTACACCACAAAGACTTTTTATTGTCAGTTGTTATGTTATGTTTAAAACTTTAGAAATAATCTACCAACTTGCCATTTAATATACCTTGGAATAAATACCACGGCATATTAATAAACAAGAGAACTAATCCCAACCATACGAAACAATCTATCAGCCATGATTTCAAGAAGAGAATAGTAAAAAATTATATGCCCACAAAATGAAAGAAATAAACATTTTTGTTGTAGTTTTGCATTGAATGTGGTTGTGTGAGACTAGAAACCTGAAGAATCATTTTCACATCATTGTCTTACTCTTTTTGTTTTTATTTCGTGGTTCCAGTTCAAAATTTCTAGCAAAAATATGGTACGTGTCACCACTTCTATTTCAAGATTTGTGGTGTAGTCTAAATTCAAGAAAATCTATGAACATAGCATTGATTAGGTAAAAATGAGAATTAAAACAATAGTAGAAATATATAGATCTTATTAAAAATGGGAAAGTGTAATTGAACTACAAATGCGAAGCATGATAGCATATTATAGAAGTAGTGGATATGGAGTTAGATCGCAAAATACTTGAAATTTCACAACAAACTAACCTGCAGTATCTATTTTCGAGAAAGCTTTTTTCTCAAATAACTTCCAGCTCTGTTGCTTTGTGGTGGAGGATGAAACCACCTGGATCCACAAATGTTACCACATTTTTATTACGAGTAGTAATGATTATTTTGCTGCTGGTAGTATTTACAGTAGGAAAAGCATGTACTAAACTCTCCCAAACATCGGATGACCAAATGTCATCGAGAACCAGTAAGCATTTTCTCGGTTGTTGAAATTCATAAAGTAACTTCACTAATTGATCATCTATCATATTCACAATCTCCCCACTTTTCTCTGGAATGAGTTTAGTTAGGATCCTTTGCAAAACATCTTTTAGTTGCCATTGTTGAGATATTGAAACCCAAGCGAAGGCATCAAAATGGCACCTAACGTCTTGGTGATGGTACACTTTCCTAGCAAGGATAGTCTTTCCCAAACCAGGCATGAAACAAATGGAAACAACTCTACGGTGTTTGGCTTCTTCACTCACCAATTGTGCAACTAATATCTTGATATCTTGCTCAAAACCAATAAAATCCTCATCCTTAACATGGGAATAAGTCCGTCGAAACTGAAATTGCCTTTGAAGAGCAGAACTTGAGCCTTCTCTTTCAGGGGTCATAGCAATTAGTTCGTAAGTTGGTAATGTTGCAGTAAGCCCAGTGATCTTGCTTCTAATCCTTTTAATTTCACAGCCAATCTTGCGCCGAGTTATGAGTTCATTGAAGATGCGAGTAGATCTCGTGATGAAGTTTCGAAAGCCTCGCCTTCTCCTGGGCTCAACCTCAAATACAAAAGTTGCTATCACATCCTCTGCATCATAAGCAATTTCTCTGCTTTCCGCAACCAAATCACGGAAACTCATGTTATGCTTACGATAGTGTGCCTTTCATTTCTTTTCTATCTGTGAAACATGAAAACCATGACCACGATCAGAACTTACAAACTGCAGCATCTATTAAAATTCTTCAGTCACAATTTCCCCCTCATTATTTATTCATGATTTGATATGAATTATATTCATTGGGGAAAAAATCAAGAAACATGAACCTAATTTGGTTTAGGGTTTAGGGTGGTTGGAACTTCTTGGTGGTGGTTTGGAATCCCTTGATTCTTTTATGGATGTTTGAGATTGAGAGTTGGAGTTGGCAGATGTATTCATTGATTTGTCATATAGCGTTGCTTTTTTTATTTATATTTTTTATTATCGTTGGTAGGGTAGAGAGGAGTTATGTAATGAGAAATGTAACAATTATTTATACCCATCCATGTACATACTTACGTGTGTTGACTATTTTCTGTGTCTTTGCCCGGTTACGAGTCTCTATCTTTTACATGATCCCACACTTTGGATTTCTCGCTAGATCAAACTGTTGCTGAGGGACATGACATGATGATGGGGTTCAGTCCACTGCTTCCGACATAATCTGAAGGTCTAATGGAGAGAGTTCAACAAAAACTCAAGATTGAGCTCAAGCATGCCCAACTGTGAGTAACTAACAGTTACCAATTTTTTAAGTTTTATCAGTTTCTCTTTGTATTTGCTACAATTTCTCTATTCAATTGAGAAAACTCGCTTGTAATCAAAAGAATATTAGGGATTCTTCAGTAAACGAAAGAATATTCAATTTCTCTACCTAGTGGATAGCCATTCTGAATTTTCAAGTATTGTCCATGTGCTGGCTTGCGTGGTTGGCAATTTGAATTTTTTTGGCATATTTCTTGTGCAGCTATTGAATGTTTATGCACCCAAGTTTGAGACTAGTGGAACATTTTGGCCAGTAGTACATAGTCCAGCTTTTGTGTTTCTCTTCTAGTTCTCACTCTTATATTCAATGACTATTGCCGGAAACATTTTCTACCCATATTCCAAGCTTATTCTGCTGAGGTACCTTTACAAAGAACACCAATTGTCTTTTCATCCTTTTGATTTTTATTGTTCAATTGATGTCTAACTGATATCAAAGACATTTTGTATATATTACTTACATCTAAGAACAATGAATGAATTCGTTAATTGATATGCATAACTCTGCAGAATCTACTCTGATACAGAGGTCAAAACAATTAGCACAAAATATGCATTGAAAATGGCTACTATTCCTGATTTAAATATGGACTGTGAAGCCATCATGGACAAGTAAGAAAAAACTGATAACCTAGAAAAGGATAATAAAATTGATCCATGTAATAAATTTCTAACAATAAGGCCATCTACTCCGATGAGTTTTGGGAGCCTGAAATTTGGTCCGTTAGGTAAGATTTATTCAATTCACAACTTTGACCTTTTTTTTTCTTCTTCTTAATCTTATTTTATTCTTTCTTTCTTTCTTTCTTTCTTTCAGTTTGAATAGTTTTGAATTTGGTTGATCATATCTTTCCACAGGGTTACCTTATACTATTTATATATTATGACCAATCATTTTTCAAAATCTAATACTAATATATTGACATGGTTTTTGAGCTATGTGTTTCACTTTTAGTAGATTCTCATGTACCTGTTTTGAGTTATATTAGTGATTCTGTGAGCATCGCCAACTAGTGAAGCCTTTTGCAGGAGCTGTCTACAGAACTTTTTCAGATTTGCAGGGCAAAGTGATTTTCAAATAATTCATTTCAAATCTGAGTCTCTCTTTATTGGAACTCCCATGATCTCAAAGGTGCACTCTTTTCTCTTCTTTCTTCACTTCTTTTTAATGGGTATTTGATAGTTTTTGTGCTATTGTTTTGGATACTGTGAGTTTCTGTGTTGTTGTTGTATAAAAAAAATCCTAGATGTCCAATTGGAACTGAGATTGAAGAATCTACTGTAATTTATAGGTTTTTGATGATGGGTTATGGAAATTTTGAATTTTTTATTTGGGTTTCATATTGTCTCTGTTCTGGTTTTCTACTAGATTTACTCCTGCAGACTAACATCTTATAGATTGTGGATCACCCTTATTTTCAGAATTTCAATAGTTGGGATTTCACACTTTGAAGAATGGCTCTGTCTCTCTGAATTTATATTGTGTTTAACTACATAGCATTTTATAGTATGAAGGCACCTGGTTGAATTTGATATATGTTTTTGCAGATTTTGTTGAGGGGATAGTTGATATGATCGAGCGGGTGATGTTGGGAGCCAAAGATTATGTTGCTCTTTTTTTTTTTTTTTGAAGACTTGAATTTTTTAGTACAGTGTATTTAAGGATGGTTAATGGATAATGTCTATTATAAATTTAATTAATTTGTTAATTTTGTTATTTTTCATTAACAAAAAATTGTTTGGTGCTTGTAATTGATTTTTTTGTTGTAGCAAACCCGTATATGATTTTTTTTTAAGAAATAATTATTTGCGACAGTAAAACAATGGTCGCTAAAAGTGTTTTTTATTTTTTATTTTTTTTTGCGACGGCAAAATAGCTGTCGCAAAAAGTTGTTTAGGTGGTCGCAAATAATTTGCGACTATTGCTTTGCCGTCGCAAAAAGTATTTGCCACCCCCACATTTGCGTCCCCCATTTGTGGTCGCATAGGCCGTCGCAAAAAGTCTTTTGTGACTGTATTTTTATTATTTGCGACGGCTTGTGACGGTCGCAAAAAATATTTTTTTTAGTAGTGATAAAAATTGTCCAGATTCCATTTGACATTTGACATATTTTCTTCCTTTCAAATTTGACATGCAGTTTATTAGTCTTCAAATATATATACATATATATATATATATATATATATATGAATTTTCCTTTAAAAAGCCTCTGAGTAGGAGACGCGTGGCTCAATAAAGGCATTCTATAATTTGTCTTTTTTTTTGGGACCATATTGCATACATGGATCTTGTATATTTGAATAAGTGAGAACGATCTATGAAATCTGTGAAAATGATCTGTGAAATCCATGAAGATGATCTTGAAATTTAAAGATCTCGCGCTCGATGATCTCGCTCTTGGTCAACAATACACGATCTCGCCGTCGACGATCAACACTCTCAATTAAACGAGAGATTACGTTTCAAATCTGTGCAAATATGTATAAGATTTTGAGAGTTTCATCAAGATTTGTGAGTGTTGATCAAGTTTTAGAGGTTTGCTTCAATCACGTATTTGATTATTGTTCGAGTTCAATCAGGTATGTTGATTTGTTGATTAATTTTTTTTAATTTATTTTTATTGTGTATAATATGATTTTGTTTGACAGAGTGAGCAAAATTTTACTTTGGTACTAAGTGCTCTGTTTTTGTTTGATAGAATGAGAGTAAAATTTTACTTTGGTATGTGTTATGTATTTGTTTGATAAAATGAGAGTAAAATTTTACTCTGGTATGTACTATGTTTTTGTTTGATAAAATGAGAGTAAAAATATACTCTGGTATTATCTATTTTGTTTTTAAAATTTTTTGATACAATGACAATAAAATTTTACTTTGGTATTGTGTATTTCTGTTATTTGTTTTTGGACTTCTTGTGATAGTAAAATTTTGTTTTGATTAACCGTAAATTTTTACTATCAATTGATTGCAGATTTGAAAAATGATTCCACCTCTTATGTTATTATGCAAGTATGGTGATTGTACCATTGTGTTCAAGGTTGTGTCAAACTGCATGTTGAAGCATTTAACTGATTTCTTAAGTTGTAAATGGAAGAAGTTTAACAGTAGTGGTTGCATACTGTTATCGTACTGTTTACCTAGACATTCACAATGCATGATTGATGATGATTCTGATTTTCATAATATGTTGTCGGTTGTTTATCCCCTTGGTGTCGACTGGGTTTATGTGACTATTACTAAAATGGGTATTTCAAATGAAAAACATGGAGTTAGAGAATTGGGTGAGGCTAGTCGATCCAACGTTACTGATGATGAAATGGATTTACTCCCTATGTTTTGTCAACATGAAGAAAGGACTTTGTTATCTTCTGGATGGGTGAATGGAATTACTCATGTAGGTCAAAGATTTATTGGAGTTGCAAAGGATTTCCGGACTGCATTATGTAAATATGCCATTGAGATTGGGTTTGAGTTTGTGTATGTGAAGAATGAGAAGTGTCGGGTTACTACTGTGTGTTCAATACGGGAGTCCAAAGGTTGTTTACGGCGAGTACATGTATCTCTAGAGAGTGCTAATAATTTTTTTTCTACATTAAGACTCTACATGGTGAGCATAGTTGTGAAGCTGAATTCATACTTCTAAAAACTCAAGGATGATGATTGTTAATGAAGTTCGTGCGAATTCCCAAACTTGTCCAATTGATATTGTGCATCATTTTACAGATTAATACGAGCTCACCATTACGTACAATCATGCTTGGTTGGGAGTTGAGAAAGCTAATACTGCTACTTTTGGGAATTTCTCTGTCTTATGATGAGATTCGATGGTATATGGATATTATGACGAGCACAAATCCTGGTAGCTATTTGCAGCTTGACTATAACCATCAAAGTGGACGGTTTAAGAGGTTTTTTTTTGTTGCATTTAATGCTTTCATTCAAGGGTTTAGGCATTGCTGTCCTCGATTGTTTATTGATGGTACTTTTCTGAAGGGAAAATATAAGAGCACCTTGTTAACAGCTACATCGAAGGATAGGGATCACGGTAGATATTACGGTCATAGTTTATTGAAAAATAACAAGTTACTTATTTTCAGAGTAACATGTTACTTTTATTCAGAGTAAAAATTTACTGTATTTTTCCTTTTTGTTTAATATACTTACCAATTGTAAAATGTTATTTTCTAGGTTTTTCTCCTCTTACAATGGCAATTGTCGATACGGAGACTACAGATAGTTGGGAATGGTTTCTTATGCATTTGTCAAATATATTGTTGGATGAAAGACCAATTATCTTCATATCTGATCGGAACGTTGGACTTTTGGAGGCTTTACCCAAGGTTTTACCTACTGCTTACCCCTATTTTTGTCTCCAACACTTGAAGGCCAATTTGAGGGATAGGTTCTCCGGTCCAAGTTTCAACAACACTTTCAGGAGTAGAATAGTTTTTTTGTTTTCTTCATGTGCTTATGCTCCGATAGTGGGATGTTTTAATCAGTGTTTGAAAGAATTACAAGATGAGGGAAAAGGGGTCGCTTGTAGGTTTCTATCCAATTTGCCCCATGACAAGTGGACTAATGCATATTTTAAAGGACAAAAATACGGTGAAATGTACTTGAATATGGCGAAGTCCTTCAATTTATAGATCTGCCAAGCTCGGCATTTGCCCACTACGAAGATAATTGATTCAATTAGGTTGAAGATCACGGATTTGATGTCAAGAAGGAGAGAACAAGCTAAGAAATGGAATACTTTTCTTTGTCCGGAGATGGATTCAACATTAGTAAAGGCTCTTAAAAGTCGAAGAACTTGGTTGGTTAGTCGATCAAATGATCATGTTTTTGAGGTTCAATCCCAGCCATTAGTTACTGTTGACCTCTTGAATAGAACTTGCTTGTGTTACCAATGGCAATTGAATGGATTTTTTTGTGCTCACGCGGTGACCGTTATCCAAAAGAGTGGAGGTGATTTGTATGCACATGTAGAACTATTTTATTACACTAGCAAGTTCAAAGCTTGCTATGTTAAGTCCGTTTATCCAATACCCACTGTTGAGAAACCTCTTGTAGCTATGGATGATCTTGTTTTCCTTCCTCCAATTTGTAAAAAGGTACCCAGTAGGCTAAGGAAGAATCGGATTCCATTTAGGTGTGAGAAGATAAGATGAGTACAGTATGGTAGATGTGAGAAGTACGATTATAATAGGCAGACTTGTAAGGAGACATTGCCATGAAATTCGTTATTGCTTTGTAATAAAAGTATGAAAATAATGCAGTTCTTTTGTAATAAATAGTCCATAGCAATAATAGTCTAGTCTTTTAAACTAGACTTGTAAGGAGACATGAAATAAAAGACATTTTTACTATGTTCTTAAATTGTTGTCTATCCAAGTTTCTAATTTGCTTTGTGGTTGAATTTGACATTCTAAAATATATATTTTTTTTTAATGTGGTTGGAGAAGTTTCATGTAAAGGAACTTATAATGGAATTTGTTTAGTAGGTGTGAAGGATTGAAGTAACTAGTCTAAAAGGAAGTAAATATGAAATTAAAACTTTACTGCCTTTTAGAGAAAAATTTTACTATCGTTTAGAGAAATGTACTTTGAAATGAAAGTACAATTTTATTATGTTGTTAAATGGTTGCCTATGGTTGTGCTCAACTTGTACTTTCAGAGTAAAATTTTGTTGTATTTGAGAGTGAATTTTTACTTTATTGCAGAGTAAAATTTTACTTTTTTTAGAGTAAAACATTACCTTCATTCACATGAAAGTAAAACTTTATTGCCCTTCAGAGTAAAATTTTACTATGTTGTTGAATGGTTGTCTATGGCTATGTTGAGCCTGTGGTTTCAGAGTAAAATTTTATTTTATTTTAGAGTAAAATTTTACTGTCAGACAGTATGTGTGTTCCATTGAAAAACATTTCTAACCTGCATCAAAATTTACCACAATACTCAAACTCCCTTGATGCTCATCACGCAATCTTTTTGCAAAAATAATCTAACAACACAACTACATATATTATCAAGACACACAAGTATAACATGTATTATTGTATTCTATCCATAACAACGTTCATTCTTTGTCAAAACAATATCCTGCTATAATAATGTATTAATCACCAAACCATAGTAAAATTTATTAGAACAATAGACATAGCATGTACTATCTATTACTCTTTTAGCATTCTTTCACTTACAATAACTTTCCCAGCATTCTTTCATTTACAAAAAGCAAAATTACATACATCATTCACAAATACAAAAAAGTAGTTCTCAAAGTTGTCCACATTATCGTCCTCGAGCTCTTATCTCTTGGGTATTTTCCTCTTAAGGTTGGATTGTTCTTCACTCCATGCTTTTGGATAATCATTCAAAAATTGATGCACTATTGGTGCTTGAAAATTTTTAATTTCTTCCTCTTCCATAGACTTTGCAATAGGCTCATCTCTTATGATTTGACACATGATATAACATACAACAATTCAACAATCAACACTGTTAATAAAAACCAATACTGTTAGATTACTCAAATTTGAAAACTACCAATTCAAGCATGTAGAAGTAGCGTGATGTTGGACATTGTTGTGGACTATCTTTCACCGAAACCAAATTTGCGAACTTTCTTGTACATCTCTTCTTTTTGGTTCCCAAATTGTTCTTCACATGTGTTATCTAACATCATTGCATAATTGTTTGATCACAATTAAATACAAGAATAAAACACAACAAAAATTTACTGTTAATATGA